TATATATATATATATATATATATATATATATATATATATATATTCAAGCTCCTCTTTCATCTTCTAGTTGGTTTGACTTTACCTTTTGAGACAAACTTTATATATATAAAAAAGTTTAGATACATAATATAGTTAATATAATATAGTTAATATAGTTAATATAATATAGTTATTACATTGAATTTGCTCGCTAGATATTCCTAGAGCTCATACCTGCAAAATGGCCGGATGAAGAACTTTTTCAAATTTAAGCTTGACAGGCGGGGGATTGGCCGCGGTGACGGCATCCGCGATTTCCTCGCCGATGACGAAAGCCTCCTCTCGAGACTTGCCGGGTAACAACACGAACATGGAGTCTGTATCACCGTAAATCACTCGACCGCCCCATTTTGAAGTGGATTCCACCAACTTAATCGCGCGTTCTAATGTCTCTCGTCCTTTGCTGACTACGCTATCTGCTATCTATAACAAGAAATGTCATGAATCTTTAGCATAGAATTATATGAAATTAAATTTACGCGTACATTATTATTTTAATTAATTTTCTCAAAAAGAGTTAATAAAATCAACATAATGCATCCTGAAACACCGTACCTCGATACAAGGCATTCTACCGCTGAAGTTGGCGGATGTATAGCCATAGGTTACGTTCGCGATCAACTTGAGACCAAGTTGCTGCGAATGTAGAACGCGCTGCAACGTGCGATTTTCTTCCGGATGGAGCTTCATAGATTCTTTTACCATTAGACGCGTATTTAGGATTCCCATCAGCATACGCGGTAATATTCCCTGTCGCACCTCTTTCTTCACGAATGCTACGCCGCAGGGCGAAAAATTCAATTTGCCTTGCAGTTTCAACACCATACTCTTTTTCATCTTCAATGTTGCCGCACCGAAGTCGAACGGTCCGGGTCTATAATAACCAGAAGTATTGAACTTATTAATTATAATTTATATAATATAAAATTGTGTTTGTGTGTGTGTAATTATAATTATGTAGATTATATAATTAATTAGAATAAATAAATGAATAAATCATAACAAATTAATTATCGTACTTAATTTGATCTATTTGATATATCTTGCATATTGATGAAACTTCTGATATACTCACTGGCCTATGTGTTCGATTCTGCCTAAACACGTGGAGAAGCAGTAGTTGTAAGCGATGATCATGCTTGGATACAAGCTCTGAAAGTCGAGCACAATTAACGGATCGATATAAAATTTAGACTCAGGTTCCATGATCAATGGAAGACACTCTGGCGCTCGCATTCTGGCTTTTTGATGTATGGACGGTGAGATCGGTATGTAGTTCATGGGCTTCGCTAATCTGAGCATCATAGACTCCACACGAAACTGTGAACCCCGCGAGAAGACCTCGTAAAATTGTATGCCCAAAAGCCGGGCGTATTCACATGTGCGACCTACGATATGAGAAGAGTAGACTTTAGAAATTACGAACTGGAGTGATTTGAGGTAAACAAAATAATGTATGTAATTCGAATTATATATAATAATAATTAAATAATAAAATTAAGTAGACAAAAGCCAATAAAATAAAAACGAGATCTATTAAATAATAAAAGAATAATAATAAAATAATAACAATTAAATAATAATATAATAATAAAATAATTTAATACAAATAATATAATAATAATAAATCTTACCTATGATATCCAACTGACTTAAGATCTTAAGAGTACCTCGAATCCTGATGACATAATGATGTATAACTCTGCACTTTATTATTATGCTTTCATGTTTCCACCAAGTGGATAGAGTTTTGAAGGAAGGACACGGAACTCTCTCGTGCAAAACATGATACATAACGTTCTCGAAGGTATACGTCAGCAGTGCTGAAAGTAATGAAATCCTTAAAAATCGAGTCCTTTGAAGTTCTGAACTGAGACAAATGACTATACGATTTACCTGCCTCGTGTCTCATGATTCTCCAAACGTCAAGAATGTTGCGACCAGGCACTTTGATTTCACTCATATCATCTTTCTCAAACGTATGAGCATCGGACTTGTTGGAGGATATCTGTACATAAGGCACTTTCGAAATTCTTAACGGAAAGCCGCTAAGGGCGAGGTGAGCTGCTCTTTGGAAAACGTAGCCCCACGAAAACGATTCCACTTCCCAACCTAATAGAACGTCCGGGTTATGTTGCTCGATCAGTTTCATGAGATTATTAAACACATCCCGCTCCGTTGCAACGTACAGTATTGGGCACATTGTACTTGCGGAATACATTTTGTTGAGTCTCGCGCTTACGGGATAAGGATTCACAATTATAGCGGCTAAAACGAAGAACACATTGTAAAAGAAATAACATCAGTTCACGAAGAACACGAATGGCAAGTCAATTTGCAGTAAAATCTATTGGACGTTATTTTTTACTTATTACTTTTGATGATTACCATGTTCTGTTTGCTCTCCCGCATCTGTTGGGATGTCGTTATGAATTGCGTAAAATAGCGCAGCGATAGAGTCGTACTGCGGATCAGGAAGGAGATCTTCCCGGGTGATGACGTGCACTTCGAGAGACATCAACGTTAAGTATTGGTGCTGCAACAGATACACGAACGAATAAATGAAGTTATATCACAAGTGAGTAAATCATATACATCATTCAAACCGAAAACCGCTTCTGACTCCGAAAGAATTGATTTCAGAATTATGATATAGATTTTAAAATTATGTATATGATTTACATTGTATCTGCACGTAGACGTAAAATAATATAATTTGGGCGTAAATTTAAGTTTTTTGTAAGTTAAGCTTTTTATTCAGTTTAGTGAACACTATTTATTCTATAAGTTCTGAATCCTTTTTTTAGTATGATATAATGAAAAATTAACTCACCGCTGCCACTGCTCTAACATTTTGAAGATTCTCGTTCGAGACATTGCCGTAGCTTCCTTTTGATGAATATTCAATTTGGCCATATGAGAAATGTTGTACTCTCTCATTCTGCTTGTATAATAACGGATTTTCCAGCGCCTTTCGTAGAGAAGGATTTAGAGTATCTCCGGAGTTCTGGCAATCATCAGAATTTTGTGTATGCTCGAACTTCCGGTCGTCATCAGACGTCTCACTGAGCAATGATACAGACCTTTCTATGCTCGAAGTAGTACTTATTAACTGATTAGAAGTTCCTGGCAGAGACTCGTCGTTCTTATTTACATCAATTGGCGGATCAGGCACATCTTGTGCACTTAGTGACATCCTTCCCTTCACCAATTTGCACGATTTGGCGTCGTGCTCTTTCTTCGACAAATATTCTTTAGCTCTTACCCAATTTCTGACATCTTTGGAGGACGGTGGTGTCACGAGCGGTTTAATCGTCAACAAATTATACCCCGCGAGAGTCCGTTTCAAGTGGCAGGTCTTTATGTTCGAACCGGATGGATAAAATTCGTTGACCTTCATTCTTCGCCACAGTTTGATGCTGGTGATATCCTGCAAGCTTGATTTAAATGCAGGCACATCGAAGGACGGAGCGTTCGCACTCGAGGATTTCTTGTGCTTCGCAAGATCGAGTTTGTTGCTGAAAAACGGCTTCTCCATTCTGCACTTCGGGATGCCATACAACGCCATGCTTTCTTCGATTTTTTCAGGATCAGGAGGCTTGTACTTTGTAGTGATCGTAATCAACGCATCACGTGACGATCGAACACTTCTTTGCGATAAAAGGGTTTGGCTCTTCATCTTTTGGCTGACACGTTGGGTAAACGTTGTATTGCATACATCCTCTTCCTCGTCCTCGTCAAGATCGGTTTCAGGAATAACGTCGTCATGAAGTTTTCTCAACGTACTTTTTACGTTGCGTATGTTCGACGCGTGATTTCTCTCGGGAGACGTGTCGTCACTGACCTCTGTATATTGACTGCTTGGAACGTTATCTTCGTCGTTACTGGAAGAAAATGTAGTTGCATCTGCGTGTACTTTGTCGATCAAATGTCCAAATGCAATTGAACTCTCAAATTGATTCGCACGATGCTCTGGTGCCGTGAAAATATTTTCTACTTCGTCGTAGTGTGAGAAATGTAACTTTTTACGAACCGCGATGCTTCCTTTAATCAATGAATCTTCGTTGCTTCTTGCTTTCTGTTCGTGATGCTGTTTTGATCGTTGAGTTGTTTCGCTAGTTTTTATATTTACATCATTGATATTCTGGCTACAAATATAATAAATATTACTGTCTCTCTCACTCTTCCTTTTTTTTTCTTTAGTTTAAATATTTATATTAGGAAATCTTCACACAAGTCATATAAAAAAATCTTACACAGTATTTGTTTTATTAATCTCTGATTCCTCACAAACATTATCAATGCCGACATTTTCTGGAAAAGAAAGCATTGTATTTTATATAAATGATAATAAAGCATGTCATATATTATTATATATTATTAATAAAAATTAAATGTAATCATCAAATGCTATTTGTAAATAAATTCTTCATGAACGACAAATTTACTGTAAAATACCTGAGTCTGAGTTTAAAAGATTCGTGCATTTTTCACGGAGTAAGCTCAGACGTAATTGTTGTGTCTTACGTTTGAGTGTCGTAGAAGTGGAAGGAATATCAGATATTGGCACGTATTGTTTCTCTTTCGGTGATTCACGATGTCCAATAGGACTTTTACTAGTTTTCGGAGACGTAATAGTAATGTCGAGGGGCGCGTAGTTGCGCGATGGACTTCGACACATTTTGCTTGGGGAATTGTAGAATTTTCTCTTGGGTGTTCTCGCGCTTGTATTTCTCCGTTTATTAGGCGATTCAGAATTGTCATCGTTGCTAAGTCTTTTTTTCTTCGGTGTAATCTGAGCCGTATCCTTTTCGCTAGACTTATAAACACATATACGTTTCTCTTGTCTATCGATAGTAACATCAACTTCGAATTCAGAATCGCTGGAATCACTTGCAATAGCTCCGTCAATATTCGGTATTGTAAATTTCTCACAGGAGTTGCGCTTCATATCTTTGGGCAGAATTGCAGTGCAACATGCTACATTAGTTGGACAATTTACAATTTTCTTTTTGTGTTCTAATACATTTATACAGAGATCATCAACTCCGTCTAATTGTGGAAGATTAATAAACGTGACGTCTGCGCAATTTCCTTCCGTAACATCTACATCATCCGAAGATACACGATTATTTTCGTCATGTTCAGCCATCACCGTATCCCCATGTTGATTGGATCTTTTATGTGCAAAATCCCAAGAACTTACACTGTCTAAGTCTAAACTCGTGATATTTAAATCTTCGACCTCCTCCTCTTCTTCTTTTTCTGGGTCATTTTGAGCTGGATTGCTCAATATAGAATATTGAGAACCGAGGACACTATCATTGTCCACATTGCTCGTGGCATCATTTTCCTCTGCTAAGTCAGCTAACATTTCCATTAATTTTATATCATCTGCATCCACTATACACAAATCAATCGTTTTAGAAAGTAAAAGTGTATTATAGTATGTACTCAGAATATATTAGTTGAGACTCACAAAAGCTGTCTGTTATAGGATTTTGACTCTGATTCGTTTCTAATTCTGAGTTTGAACGCAACAATTGATTGTCATTAGAAGTTTTCCTTTCAATGTTTTCTTCAGATATAAAAGATTCACTATGGCTTAGAACAAGAGAAGTATTCAAGACACGTTCATCGTTTCCTACTTCAACAGGGTATGAAAACACGTTTGTATCCGAGAGAACTGTTTCATTGCTCTGAAACAAATAAAAACATGTGTTAATATATGCATAGAAATTATATACATTAACTAGATAATTATAACCTAGTAGTACAATGACATACTTGTGATATAGCGCTCAATTTTTTTAACAATAGGCCCTCTTGATAAATATCATTGCTGGTTGGAGGAAGAATAATCTTATTGGGTGTTTTAGGATATAATAATTGTGACTTTACATTTTCTAAACCAACTGCTGCTCTTCTTGCTTTCTCTTCCTCCCAAATTGCAGCAAGACCAGGATTTAGTTCTATCTTATCGTTAATATTCTGCCTGTTCAGAATGTTTGAAGCATGTGTATCTACTTCTAACTCGCACATGCTTTGCCTCGCAATATATGCAGGCAAGTACATTTGTGAGTCCAAGCTATCCGCTAAATCTTTGTTTTGACTATCTTCTGTGGAACATCTATATCTTATATTACTCAAATTTATCAAATTCATTCCATAGAGATTGTAATCAATCATAAACTGTAGAATATATGGAATATGTGTCTCATATGATTGGAAATGTTGATTGAGGACAACACCATTCTGAAAGAAAAACTCTTTGTTAATGTTTTTTCTAAAATAGTTATATATAAAATTATATTTTATTCAAAAAAAAAAGATTGTTACCTGTAACAAATCTGCTGTTCTTTTAATTATAGCAGGATTATAAAAATATATCTTAAAAAACAAATGTTTTTTCTTATGATAGCCATAGAAAGGTCTGCAAAATAATAAATTACACAATTACATTTAATGAATAAAAAAGAAATATATATACATATACTCAAGTAAATATATCTTCTCTTATGAATCAAAGACTATGAAATTATTAATCTATCAATTTCCAATCTTTTAACTTACATTCCAGATACTCGTTGAATTTTATAGACATGTTGGTTAGTAGATAATGTAGAACCAAATGATGTATTCAAGGCAGAATCAATAGACGCAGCCAGTTGATAGGCAAAGCTATCCGTATTTTCCTGAACTGTGCATGGTACATACATGTACGGGAACACACCATGAACATGCAAACATGTCTTTTTACCTTAAAAAATTAGCGTTTACATTTTGTACATGTAATTCATCAAAAATAGCACTAGGAAATCCTTTGAGTTATTTATTTACCGGTAGAGGTTGACCCGAATATCCTAATTACCGGCACTTTTTTTATTTCCGAACCACGAAATTCTGAGAATGTTACATCGAGCTCGGGTATTGGAGACACTTGATAACTATCGATATTCACCAAAGTAATGGAAAACATGTTACGTTTCCTATCTAATAAAAATTATACTTGATATTATAAAATATACGTTCATAAACTAAAGAATAAATATTAACGTTCAAACTGCTAAAACCAAATAAATAAATATCAGCTGATCCGTAGTTGTTGTTAGGGTGCCGTCCCATTGAGCACGGATCGGAACGCCGGATCGAATTTCTTAGGGTGCCGTCCCATTGAGCACGGATCGGAACGCCGGATCGGATTTCTTACTATAATGAGCGTTCCGTTCTCTAGTTCCGTTCCGTAAAAGTTTCCTCTACCAGTCCCATGTAGCAAAAACGGAACGGGATGGCGCGTCGGTCGCAAATAAATATGATTAATTCGTCAATATTTCGTTATTTTGACGCGACAGAATTAATTATATACATAATTTATGCAATTATCTTGCCGATAACATTGTCATGAATATTCTGAAATATTTAATTGAAGAGTGAAATATATTTTATAACTAGAAATCCGTTCCGTTTTTGCTACATGGGACTGGTAGAGGAAACTTTTACGGAACGGAACTAGAGAACGGAACGCTCATTATAGTAAGAAATCCGATCCGGCGTTCCGATCCGTGCTCAATGAGACGGCACCCTTAGACAGTTGGTCTGTTCTTTTTAGCTGCACTGCTGAACTGGTGTAATAACTTATAGTGAATTCGGTCGGTTCGCACTAGGTTTGTTCTTTCGACCTGAACTGGCTGCACTAGTTCACGAAGTTTGCACTAATGAGTTCTTTCGATCAGAACAGTGCAAGAAAATGTGTTCTTTCGAACAGTGCAGGCTGAACTAGTGCAGCGAGTTCAGTGAACTGACTGCCCTAGGTCTGGAGGTAGAGCAAGCAGTGCAGGACAGCTAACCGAAAAAATTTGAATTTGTATCTATAACCTGTAAAATCGGTATACCTAGTTGACATTACGTAGAAGAAATAATCCGACGACGGAATCTATAAACAGTAAATAAATACTTAAATATATAATAAATATATAATGTAGATAAATATATAATAAATATATAATGTAGAATGACATAAAAGAAGTATTTAGAATGTTATCCAAACAGCACAAAATATCCGAAAGACATCCTGGGAAGGCTCTTGGACGTTTTTTCGGAGAGATTTGTTGTATGGGTATCCAACACAAAACAGTTTTTAAAAGAAATAGGATTGTTCAACAAAACATAAAATGCTATAAGTGCGAAAATATGACCATAAATTGATCTATGTTATTTAATCCAGCCATGTTGTCCGCCATCTTACACTGCTCTAACTTGCTCTTACCCGTTCTTTTCAGACCCATATGTATCTTTGCACTGGTCTGCACTATCTTGAACTTTCTTCAACTAGTATAGTTCCAGTGCAGCCCTAGGTCAGGTCGAAAGAACAAACGTAATGACTCTGAACTAGTGTTGCACCGAACGATATGAGTGCAACACTAGGTCTGGTGAGAATTAACATTTCTCGGCGCAACACCAAATGCATGTAACACTTCGATCCTCCAACATTTCACTCGTGACAAGCGAACTGAGACGGTACGGTGTTATAAGTAATATAATCATACAATATGAGTGTAACATTCAAAAGATTTATATTAAACGAAAATAATGAAGTTATACAGGACGAATAATATTTTATGTGAAGTTGAAAATGAAGCAGGTAACATGATATTAAAAAAAAATTTTAACATTATATTTAATATTTTTACGCTCAATCTTTAAAATTTTTAATATTAAAATATATCCAATATAATTATATACATATATATATATATATATATATATATATATATATATATATATATA